CCACCTTGGATCACTTTAAATCCGAGACTCTTAATTCTGTGATACTTGGTGGATCACTTTACCTCTGCCTTGGTGTCCTGGGGTGGCTTTATGATGCTTGTATCCCCAATTGCCTGGTTTATGTTACATATTAAGTTCTGCACATTTAAGACTGGCTCTGAGACTGAAGTGGGGGAAGAAGACACACGCAGTTTGTGTTGAGAAAGAGCACTCACTCCTCCGCATCCTGCTCCTGGACTGTGTTGTCTGCAGCACTGACAGTGGGGCAGACCTCTCCTTTGCTTTTAGTTAGTTTTTAGCTAGCTGAGGCAGAGAAGTTCCCCAGACTGCTTTTTTCCCTTTTCTTTGGATCTGTTCAAACCTGCTCTGGACTGAAAACCCAGACAAACCCCAGGTGCTCACGCCTGTGCCACACCAGGGCCTGGGCCTTTGCACTTTCCAGTGCCGGAGGGACTGATAAGAACCTGAGTGAGACAAGCTACATCCCATGAAAAGGACTCTTTTTTCTGGAATCGCCATCTCATTGAATAGCGAGAGGTTTGATTGTTTAATATTATTCAAATTCTGTTAAATTAACAATTTTTTCCCACTTTTCTCCACGGAAATCTTTTCCTGAAGCAGCTGGGGGAGGGGCCATTTGAATTTGTTTTCTGGAGAGACCCCATTTGGAGGTTCTCTCCCAGATTTGTTCTAAACCAGGACACTTGGAGATAAAGATATCTCATCTTGAAGCCTGGTGAACACAGAGACATACAATAGCCATTGATTTAGAATTAACTGTACTATAAAACCCATGCAAAATTTTTTTTAAAGAAAAGAATTTCTCGTTATCTAGGATTCCTTAAAACCATTTTACTGAGGTGAAAAGTACCCTTTGATTTCAGGGGCAAGTCTAAGTGCTTAGCTCTGTCTAAAGCAAAAAGAAAAGGAAAACAATTCTTCACATCCTTTACATTACATGGCTATTAATCCAAACGTAAAGAAAATAAACTACACACTGACCTTTTGAAGCAGCAGCATTTGCTCTGACCTCATATCCATCCTAACCAACTCATGCACTCAAACTTTAAAAATAATCCACTGTACAAACTGACAATCTGGCAACATGCTGGCTGAAGGAAAACACTTCCCACACTGCTTCCAGTCCCATGCCCACAGTCATCGTTCCTTGCTTGCTCTGTTCCTCCATTTCCCAACACTGCCTGTGCTGTTTATTTTGTTACTAAAAAATTGTTTAACATGCCTTTGAATTTTCTGCTATATTTAGGATCATCTTAAATAAGTCTCCAGACAATTGTACCATCAGGCCTTGCACTCACATTCCTTGTAACAAAGCTCTGCAGGCTCAAGGCCTTATCCAAACCTGGCTTTGGACGTTGCCAGGGTTGGGGCACCCACAGCCCTCCTGGGCAACCTATGCTAGTATCTCACCATCCTCACAGTAAAAAAGATGCCAGCCCCAGGTCAGTCCTGACTCAGAAGCTACTCTAGGCTGTGGGAGCACAGGTCAGCAGCAGCACAGTAATCAGAAGAGGAGACAGTCTCCCTGTTTAGGGAAACAGCAGCATGAAGAATTTCCACCCCCACTGCTCATTCCTAACCTCTGTCTCACACACTTGGTCAGGTAAATAATGTTATGAATACCTAGCACCCAATCGAAGCTGTATCTTGATTATAAGTGCACTTCATTTGCAGTGCTAGGTAGGAACTGATAACCCTGATAAGAAGTAGGGCAGGGAAAGCAGAGCTGCTGTAGTTTATTTATGTTCGGCCCAACCATTTTTGTTGATCCTAATGCAGATCACACTAGGTACTTTCTGCAGAGAAGGAAACTGAAACCACAGTTCCTAGGCAATGCTGGCCACTGTCCAAACCTTTTTCCAAACAGTGTCTTTTAGCTCATGTCTATATAAAACAAGCAAAACTAGCTCACAGCTCCAGCGTGTCCAGGATGAAGGCAAGATCCTCCCCATGCACCACCCATTCCACAAAGCAGTCTGAGAGAGGGCCTTGATGCTGCTAGGCTGCCCATCCACGGGCACCACAGGTCACAGAAGAAACCTGTCACACCCCTTCAGTGTGCCTTACTTTCAGCACAACACAGGTTAGTTACCCTTAGTGAGTGGCCACAGAAGGAATAACCAGTGCTGAACTCTTCATTTGTACGTGCCTACCTACAGAGCTCAACGTTTTGAAGAAAGAGACAGCTCAAGGTGCATCAACAGATTACAGGCAATCCTAATTTCACTCCCCCTCCCCCAACCAAAAAAACAATGAAACAACAGCAAAGTACTAATAATCCCTATCCACTGTAAACACAGCTCTACCAACAGAGGAGAAAAACTTTCTTAAGCCTTCCCTTCCATACAGCTAGTTTATTCCAAATGGAAATGCGAAGGGCAGCAATCCCAGTTACAGGGAGGAGAGGAGGAGACTTTGGAACAAAGATGAACACCAAGGCAGTCACTCTGCAGCTACTCCAGAAGGTAGTAAAATTAAACAGTGCGGACAGCTTTTGAGATAGGCCTTCCAAAAAAAGGTTGAAGATGTTGTACCATCTAAATAACAAACTAATCTAGGAATAAACAGAAAAAAACTGTAAATTCTGTTTCTCAGGAAATTGCTTTCCTCCTTCTATTCAACTTCATTCTCTTCTGAGAATATAAATGACCTGAAGCACAGTGACCACACGCTTGAGTATACAATGAAATTCCTGTTATGATTAACTCCAGCTCTTTTTTAATTTAAGCAACGCCTTACTCAGAAGGGGTTTCTTATAAAAGAGCACTCATTAAATTGTCATACTAACTACCTAACTCTATTTATCATTAACTTCAATATATTTTGCATGTTTACTTGTCTCAGGCTACTGTTTGTTATCTGAGTACTAACTTAATTTACAACAGTGTAATAGGCTGTGCCTATTTTACTAGTTTTGTATCATAACATCACCTGGCATATATCTGCATGCAAAGCCTTGCCTTAGTAGTTAGTTCAGAAGTGGTTTCTCTAGTTTTATAAAAGGACTGAAGCATCACCCTTGCATTAGGAGAAGTGTGACCTGCTGAACTCTGCTAATTTATTATGCTGAAAGTTTATAGCTGCTGCTGTTAAATTATTCAATGAGCAGTGAATGGGCAGCACCATCACTGGCAGTGCATGTTCCAGAGGGCATTAAAGGTAACACATGAGCTAAGTGTGCATGAGATGCAAACACCTAAATAATGAACACCTCCTGAAACCATCCACCATAGGAGGGTCCCGGGGGAGATTGTCTGTTTCAAGTTTATACAATTCTGTAATTTAAGACAACGATGGAAGAACTGATAAATACAAAAAAATGAGAGCTATGTTAAAAATGCATTAGTTTCCAAAATAACTTTTATGTGGAAAAATTTAAGACTTCTGTAGAATTGTATTAAAATACAAACTTTGTATCCATGCACAAAGAGCAGAAGAAATAAAACACAAAACCAAACATCCTGTCAAGAGACTGTGGAACTTTGCTACCTTTCTTTTAATTTGGTGTAAGGACTGGAGACATTAAAATCTTAAACATATCTTAGGGAAAAAGAAAATCCATGTCTTTAATCACTGCAGTTAGTCTGAGATGACAAATTCCAAAGATTCGAAAAGCAGAAATTGAAGAAAAAACATTATATGTTTCCAAGGTCCATCTGTAGCTTTCTTTGCTCATTTTTGCACTTGAAATTGGCAAGGCTACAACTGTGAATTTGTCTATAATAGTAAATGACAACATACATAATATTCTTATTTTTATGCAACAATCCAAGATGCAAAGAGTAACCAAGCAAGGACCAACATTATCTTTACCCTGACAATCATCTTTTACCACCATAAGGGACTTTAACTGTCCATTTACCTTCTATAAAACATTCCTTGACACCAAAGCTCTCTGTAACCTCTGTATTTACTGAACATCTTCACTGAAATATTTTGTCCTATCACTCCTTTTTTTCCTAACATAAATGCCTCACATTTAATTTTTTTCCCAAATGTTATATGCTATAAAGGTATATACTACAATTATTTCATTAAGGGACTGGGCAAACAGCAGCACTGGATCAGGAGAGGTCTGTGCAGCCAGGGCAAGGGAGTCAGGCAGTGCAAATGCACTTCTTTTCAAATAAGCTTCAGAAATCCACAAAGGGAATGTTCTAGAACACCAAAAAGCAAAATTTATCACAGAGGAACAGGACAACAAAAATATTCAGCCAGTTTCTTTCCTTTAACAGGTGGTTTTGTGACGTGGAGCAGAGAAGCATGCGCTGAGCAGTGAATCACCTCTCCTGATCAGCATCAGCCCATCTCCCCAGCTCAGCCTCCTCCCCTGCATCCAGGCAGGGGGCTTCAAGGGCCGGGGGGCTCCAGGGGAGGCCAGAGCGCCGCCGAAGAACCGGCAAAGGCCCCGGGCTGACCCAGGGAGCGTCCGGGGATGAGGTCCCACCCGGCGCGTTGCGGGAAAGTGGCGGGCGGCGGGTCCGGGAGTGACCGCGCTCACCCCCGCGGGCTCCGGGCGGGACGGGGAACGGCGAGAGGCGGCGGCGCTGCCTTTGAGCTACGGAGAAACCCCAGAGCGGAGCCCCGGCCCAGGGCGGGGCCCGGTGCTTCTCGCCGCTCGCCCGACCCCTTCCCCCTGCCACCGTCGGCACTTGCAGGAGGCCTTTCCGCGCCGCCACCTATTCCAGGCAGCGGCCGAGGCAGCTCCAGCCCGCCCGTACCGGAACGCCAGGCTCCGGCGCATCCTCTC